TTAATTCTCTCTGCATTGGCAGCATTCAATCAAAATTTTCCTTGACACTGTACAGATTTTTGTTTCCAGTGGCAGTCTCCTTCTGGTGAGTAATAGCAAATTATCCAACCCCAGAAGAAATATCCTTCCATATCTCCTATATGGTTACATTCTTCTTTATGTTGATTCCAGAGACTGACTCTGAAACACGACTTTTGATTGGATGCTTCAATGCTAATTCTGTTCCACCTATTAGGCAGTAAGTGCACTTAGGTATGTAAGTATGATTGTATTCCACCTTCCATGAGCCCCTGAAAAAGTATTTGAGGTGGAGGCCTCAAACTGCAGACCAGTCAGCCTCAATTTAGACCCTGGAAAAATCATGGAACACATCGTCAAGGAATCCATTTCTAAGCACTTGGAGGAGAAAGTGATTAGGAACAGTCAGCATGGACTCACATAGGGCAAGTCATGCCTGACAACCCGATTGCCTTCTATAACGAGGGGACTGGCTGTGTGGATGCAGGGAGACCAAAAGATGTGCTATACTTTGATTTAGCAAGGCTTTTTATAGTCTTCTACAACATACTCACAGGCAAGTTAAGGAAGTATGGGCTGGATGAATGGACTTGTAAGGTGGGTAGAAAACTGGCTGGAGCTTCGGGCTCAGAGAGTGGTAATCTATGGCTCGATGTGTAGTTGGCATCCAGTATCAAGTGGAGTGCCCCTGGGTCGGTCCTGGGGCTGGTTTTGTTCAGTGTCTTCATCAGTGACTTGGAAGGTGGTATAGAGTGCACCTTCACCAAGTTTGCGGATGACACCAAGCTGGGGGGGAGTAGTAGATATGCTGGAGGGTAGGGCTAGGAGTCAAAGTGAGCGAGACAAATTGGAGGATTGGGCCAAAAGAAATCTCATGAGGTTCAAGAAGGACAAGGGCAAATTCCTTCACTTAGGATGAAACAATCCCATGTACCAGTACAGGCTGGGGTCTGACAGGGTGGGCAGCAGCTCTGCAGAAAAGGAGCTGGGGGTTACAGTGGACAATAAGCTGAATACGAGCCAACAGTGTGCCCATGTTGCCAAGAAGGCTAACGGCATACTGGGCTGCATTAGTACGTGTGTTGCCAGCAGGTCAAAGGAAGTGATTATTCCCCTCCATTTAGCACTGGTGAGGCCACACCTGGAGTATTGTGTTCAGTTTGGGGCCCTCCACTATAGGAAGGATGTGGAGAAATTGGAAAGAGGGCAACAAAAATGGTGCAGGGGGCTGGGGGACATGATTTATGAGGAGAGGCTGAGCAAACTGGGCTAATTTAGTCTAGAACAGAGGAGATCAATGGGATTTAATAGTATCCTTCAACTACCTGAAGGGGGGTTTGAAAAAGGATGGAGTTAGGCTGTTCTCAGTGGTGGCAGATGACAGAACAAGGAGCAACAGTCTCAAGGTGCAGCAAGGGAATTTTAGGTTAGATATTAGGAAAAATAGTCTCATTAGGAGGAGAAAAATTTTCTCACTAGGAGTAAAACACTGGAACGGATTACCCAGAGAAGTGGTGGAATCTCCATCCTTAGAGGTTTTTAAGACCCAACTAGACAAAGCTTTGGCTGGGATATATAGTTGGGGTTGATCCTTCTTTGAGCAGGGGATTAGACTAGATGACCTCCTGAGGTCCCTTCTAACCCTAATTTTCTATGATTCTTTGATTCTATACATGGAAAAGTATAACACATTTTTAGTTTTCCATGTATGAAATCTAATTATCGGGTGAGTCATCTTAAATTCAAAGTCGTCTTGGCTTTAGATAGATACAGTACTTCAAGTCCTGGAGAAGCTAAGGGTAAGGCAGTTAAGAAGTTCTAAAGACTCACTTTTTGAAACATATAGGACATATCTGCTTAACAAAAATGGCAATGCTATGTTGAATTCAGTTGGGAGAGGTCACTGTTTAAAGAGTTTCTGAAAGATCCAGTAACAAATGATGGAATGCAGAAAGACCATTAGTTCCTAACAGTTCAATCACTTGTATTTTGCACAAACCTGTAATTTGAAGGTTAGGAGTGCCACACAATGCACATTTATGGGAATATATGGGTCTACCATATATAGTCTTTCATTCAGAATGATTATGATTTGTTGAGCTGAAAATGTACTTTATCTTGGCCGGAGTTTTCGTGTATTCCTTCCACATTCTAAATGGCAACTGAAGGCAAGCAGAAATACTTAGTAATTGATTTAACAACCTAAGACAAGTACAATAAAGTAGAAAAGTTTGTCTCAATGCTTGACTTGACCTGAGAGAGCTTCTTTAGACTTATTTTCTAAACAGTACCTCAGCACCTTGGGCCAACAAAGTGGCCTTTAAGCCTGAATGAGCATGACTTTTTTTTCTCCAGTGTAAAGCTCCAGTATTTCATCTTTTCAAACTGTTTTATAGCACTCAGAACAGAATTATATTGACAAGGTTAGAATTCATCTCCTGGAGGAGAATACTGTGCTACTGTTAAGTGCTAATATAACATTTATGTGTTGGTACCTTAATAACAGCCCCAGCTTACCTAATGAAAGTACTGAAAGGAAACAGTATTCAGTGAGATTTTATTATGACTGAAGTGACTGCAATTTGAGACAAATTATCCCTATTTTTGTTCCCATATCAAAAACAGAAATGCTAAAGTAATTGCTACATGTTTGGTATGGAATTAGGCTCCACTATCGTTAATCTAGAAGTAAGTGCATTTTTCATGTAAACAGCTCACGAGGGTCAAGCAGCAAAGACTTTTCTGTGGAAAAATGCTTGTCAATAACTTTGTGAGTGAATTTTGAAATAAAGTGCCTGTAACCTGTCATTATTCCTTCCTCTCAAAGTCGAGAGTGAGTGGATGAAAATTGACCATGTGAATTGAAGACAGGGTGAGTGTTATGGCCTTATCGACTTCAGATAAAATGACTGTTTTAACTTGTTATTATTTTTCCATTCAAAGGTCAGGCAATGTACAATATTAACAGTATAGACTGCAGTGTAAGCAAATTGGTATATAAAAATGTTATCAATACACACAAAGGAGAGGAAAGTATAAGTCACTAATATCAAGAGTACTTAATGTGTGATCGTTCTTTAAGAAAAGGGGGGGAAGTAAGACAATTTTAAGAAATCTATTCAGAGGGAAAATTTGTTTAAATATAATTCATTGTTGTAGAAAACTTACAAGTAATTTCAGTTATTTTTTCGGGGGGGATATACATGTATGTATAATCAGATTCCTTTCCATAAACAGACTCATTTTCATTTAACAAGTTTTATGAGTGTATGTATTAGCAATGCCTGCATTTATAACTAAAACATTTAAGTGCATACTTATCTGTAAGATGATAGACTTCTGCAAGCTGTTCTACATTTCAAGTCTAGTTCAGAATTGGTCTCAAGGCCTTGTCTATCCAACTCTGGCAGAGTGTCCCAGAGAGCATGGGGCTGAGTTTACCTCACCCATCAGAGTCTGCTGACGTGCTTTAGAGCTAGAAGTTGGCCAGGGAGGCTGCTTGGGGCTCATCTCCAGTGACCACAATCATGATGGGGGTTAGGTGGCAGTAGTCTTCATTTTTCATCATATTTAGTGCACTTCCAGAGAAAGTGGGAGAGCTGGGTTCTAGACCCTCAGCCTGGAAGGATTCAAACTCACATCTCCTCCTCCACGGGAAAGGCACTAACCCCCAGGATGAGCTGATTGGACTGTATCTCCAACCCATCCTGTTGAAAGTAGCCTGTGTGTAACCAAATATGTAAAAGTCATGGGGCAAAAGGGAGAATGAGTAAGAGAAAGCATGACTGTGTAGCCAGGAGTTGGCAAGGTTTTTTGGCAGCAGGATAGAAAGACCTCGTCTGAGGTAGGCTGGCACTAGGTACTCGCTGCCACTGGTTCTCCCCATTGCCCAGCCCCAGAGCAGGTGAAAGCCCCCCCACTGCCAAAAGCCCCCTGACACCACCCATGGGATCCAGTAGCTTGCAGGCTGTAAGTTACCAGTGCCTGTTGTAGACGGTCAGTTGGAATAGGAAGTCCAGGCTCTGCTCCTGCAGGTCATTGCTGGTTGAACTTTGTCACTGAGATGATGCTGTCACCCTCTAGAGCAGTGATTCTCACACAAGGTACATGGCAGCCTGGGTGCCACACAGTGCTGGCACTGTTCTGTTTGCAAGCATAACTCACAAGATAAACCCAGAGATAGATTTCAAATAGCTACTCATAGTTGGGATCTTTCTGAGCCCTCTGCAACAAAAAATTCTATATTATTTTTTTGTATGTAAAAAATGACTGAAAACTAGGACTTGGCATTTTTCAAGGGATTCCTCAAGTCTATCTAGGGGTGCTTTGAGTCTAAAAAGGTTGAGAACCACTGCTTTAGATGATGCATTCAGCCCATGCTGAACATAAACCTCATTTGTTTCAAGGAGTGCATGTTTTGCTCCATTTTTTTCATGCAACACTATAAACATTTTTCACATTGAAAGGCCATTGGTGCAAATAAATGTCGTACCATGCAGCATATTGTACAGTAGTTCTAACTGCTCTTCTCTGATTCTTGTCTTGTTTTATAGGAATGAGCATAAATAACGTTAAGATCTGTATTCCTCCTTAAAATGACATAGACATAGTAGGAAGCTAATATTGAGAAAATGAACAAGAATTAGCTGTCAGACAGATTCATAATTGCTTAAGGTGACTTAAGTTACTTTCTTGGTAACAAAGAGAGAAAAACAAAATATCCATGGTAATAAACCAACTGTGCTGATAAATATAGTATGATTGTACTATAGTATACATATTCACTTTTTTTAATTGAATGACAAAATCTGAGAACTATTTATTTCACCTTACTATTTAATGTTTACTCATTCTTATAGCTTTATCTGTTGTTTTATAAACTAAATTATAGTGAAGTAGCTGTAACTCCCATTCCAGCATATAAGAATCAGCTTCTAGTAATTCTCTAATCTAATGCTTGGATTGCTTTGTTTCATTTTTAGGCAGAAGACTCCATAATGTGCAGTGATCTACCCGCAGTGTGTGGAACACTAGCTGTGGTTGTGGTACCGCACCTACCCAGAGAGGCACTCATTGAGTGGCATGTCATTGCAGTAGTGGATGATCCATTACAAAGAAAAACTTTTTCAATGAAGATGTTTTCAAAGGGCTGCCAAATTGAATGTGAGGTTGTGGAGTCCAGTTCTGCCACTAGTGCATCAATCTCAGTATGCCTAAGCCTGACTTCACCATCTGTTTCTTCAGTTGATTTAGATACAACTCTCCAAGATATGGTTGCTGTTTTTAGGCAAGCTGTCGAGAAACTTTCCGAAGACTGCACTGCAATACCTTTGTGTTTTAGAACTTTCTACAAGAAGGATAGCTTCAGTACTGAAATACTACAAGCAGGTAAGACTGTTCCTGGAATAAGCCATTAATAGTAATTAAGTGGGGTTTAACTGAGGAAAAAAATTAAAAGCAAGCGTGAAGAGTAGGCATGATTAGGATACAAATGTTCTTTCTTTGGTTACCAGCCATATTACTCATTTTTTAAGAAAGCATTAGCCTGGAAAAGAAATAGGGCTGTCCAAATAGATGACAAAAACAAAAATGAGCTGTACTCTAGAAGGATAGATCTGCTGCATAAATGTCTTTGAGCAGTGTAATTACTGAATATTACCATGGTACTATTTAGAGGTACTATTTTAAAATGCAAAAGTTAAAAAAAATCTATGAAATGGTAAAGTAGAGTGGGGGGGAGGTGTCTGTGTGTGTCTTTACTGCCAAATATATCTCTGCCCTTAAAGACAGATACAGTTAACCAAGGAACTTTGGTATACTGTTTGTTTTGTGTAGTAATAACTCTCCATAATTTCAGTCCCTTCCCAGATAAGCAGTGAGAATAATAATGTTAGAAATACAATGTATGCCTTATGTTTCAGTGGGTAGATATGCTATGTTCAATTACAAAAGTTCGTAACAACATGCAAAAACCCTCTTTCATCTGACAGGCCTACAAAATGGTTAAAGACCTGATCGTGCTGTTTCAGTAAGAGTTTTGCCATTGACTTCAATAGGAGTAGAATCAGGCCTTTAGTCTTCATTCGTCTCAAAGACGCACTCACATATTTAAAAAAAAGAAAGATGTTTGCAAACCTACAACAGATCTATATTAATTACCTAACATAATGTTAGCCCTCAAAGAACCTACTGTCCTATTTTTTTTTATTTAACCTGCAGCAATTTTTGAAGGAAATTCAACTTGACATTGTTTAATAGATTTAAAGTACAGGAATACAAAGCAATAAAAATGTGGTATGGAGTAAGCATGCTTAATCCATGAAGCAAGGAAAGAACATGTAGCCTGACAGAACGTTGTTCTTCTACTGGGTCTTGTTTAAGAACTAAGAAGCAACCTGATAAAACATGTTCCTAGCATACAATTTACATGATCCCTTTGCTTGTTCTCTCTCTGATGTTTCATGGGGCATATAATAATTAGCTTTGAGTAAAGTACATTTGCCTTAGCTAAATCTAATATTGAGCAAAACGTATAAATAGGATAAATGGATGAAGTGCGGGAAAAATGTAACTATGTAGTATTTTATGTTAAACTAATGGCATGGGTGTAGAATGAATCATCAAGGTTTTTCATTCATCTTTAGTTCCCTCTAAATCTCTCTAAGGCCCTAATGACCATCATCATTATAATCATCAGTAAGAAATGCAGTCTTGTTAAAATGTAGCGTGCATTAAATTTATAGCTAGCACTAATTTATCAGCAAGGAATTTCAGGAGAAAGTTCACTTGTGTTGCTTAGCATTTTTCTTTGCAAAGTCCACAGGCTGGGAAGCAGCTTTGTGTAATGTATTTGAAAATAAAATTTTGTTGTTAACCAGCACCTATCTGTAGCTCTTAATAGAAGAATTTTTATACTAGTTTTCATTCTGCTGTAAGAGGTTCAAAGTAAGAGGCTGCATCTTTAATACATTAAAATCCAACAAGGGGCATGCTTAAGTGCTTCATTAATACAGGTCCTGGTTGCATTCTGGGCATCAGGTGGAATTTCTTCAGCTTCTCAAGGAACACAGTACAGCAATGAACCACTAAATACCATACCCACAGGCATCTTCATGCTATTATTATTATATTCCTCATGAATTGGATATTTTATTTAGTAGCTTTAGAGTGATGTGTTAAAGCTGTCAGTGGTAAAATATTTTAAACATTTTTAAATTATTTTCTTCCTTTACAGGATGTAATATATAGCAAACAGTTCCAGCACATTTGTAGAAAAAAAGAATATTTATGACTTCTATAAAGTATTCCTAACCCCTTTTTGTGTGGTTTTTCCTATATTAATTTACTAACAGAATACAGAGGTTTTTTTGTAGGGGTTTTAGATTTTGGAGGTAATGGACAATTTAGATGATTACTTTTTAAGATTGTTGTATTATGTTAATTGTTAGATCAACTGAAATCATTCATTGTTTCACATAGCATGGATTTTAAATCAACCCTGAATATAAATTAACCCCACATTTTCAAGGTCAATTTTAGGAAAAATAGCTTTTTCCCCAACTATAAGACAGTTACTATAGGTAAAGGCCTAGAATGGCTGTTGCCATTACAAAATCCCATAGAAGGAGAAAATATCCAATAACAGAACTCAAAGAGTTAAATGCATTAAAATACTTACACACCTGCTATGAAAATTATTCTGACTCGGTATTTTTACTGCATTTAAAAATACTGCAAGAACAAAAGCCAATTATAGGCTGACACTCATATAAGTTGAGTGTGATTTTAATGGTTCTTTTGGAGGGAAAAAAATGGGATTTCTAATCAGAACAATGCAGTAATTAGGTGTTTACATAAAATCTAATTTATTCTTTCTTAAAGTTATATCTACCTTTATTGTTACTAGGGTAACATTAATATCTTTTGCAGATAAAGGCTTTTATCCTTTGATGTGACCATATTTGGTAAAACCTAACTATAGGCTGTTTATAATCTAACTAGCAAAGTTGGCTCTTCAGGTTGCTAGCTTTTAACTTAAATGTTCAGCTACCATTTGGTTTGAAATTCTAGAATAGAAGAGGTACAACATTTTTGTCTAGCTAGTGACTTACTGACTTTGCAAATACGGATCCCCCTCAAGAATGTTGTGTCTGTTTGAACTAAAAAAACTAACTTCCTTTGAATACATGCCACTGTGAATCCTACTCTTGGTAAATGTGCAACTCATAAACAGTATCTGTAGCAGTATCGGTTACGGCTGTGAGAGCACCCTGTGCTTCCTTGTGCACCTTTGAGGGTATAGAAAGTGGAGCAACCAAAACCTTATTGCAGTTTTTTCTTACAGCTTATGAAAGATACAGCCCACTAGTTCTTAGCTGCAGCTAAAGTTTCTGAGGACCTTCCAATTTCTTTAGAACTCTTTTGATTATTTTCATTTTCAACTGGTGTTAGCATGTCAGCCCATTAACAACTTAATGGTATATTAACTATATAATATATACTGTGTGTGTGTGTATATATATATATATATATATATATATATATATATATA